GCCCCTCTGGTGCATTCGCAGGAGGACAGACAAGGGGCTGCTGACCTTTGTGGACCACCTGCCCGTCACCCAGGTTGTGGTTGGAGACACCAACCGCACTGGCTCTGAAGCTCAGTTCGTGCTGGGGCCCCTGCGGTGCTATGGAGACCGTAAGTGACCGGCCCCACAGSTCATTCCCTGCCTACAGAGTGCCTACACCCACCTTCCCACCCCTCACTGCCTTTCCTGTTCCTGCAGGAAACACCTGGAACACCGTCTCCTTCAACAGGGGCGCAGCCCTGATCTTCCCCACCTTCCAGGCCAACCACAGCCTTGACATCTCCTTCTACTTCAAGACCACTGCCCTGTCTGGAGTCTTCCTGGAGAACCCGGGCACCCGAAACTACATCCGCATCGAGCTCAACAGTACGGGGGGCAGAGGGTGYGGGGCTGTTGGGGGCAGTAGGGCTGGGGCCTCTTCTCAACACCGTGTCCTTGCAGCCACCAGGGACGTGGTGTTTATATACGACATYGGGAACGGGGACGAGAACCTGACGGTGCGGTCGGTGGTACCCTGGAACGATGACGAGTGGCACCAGGTGAAGGCTGAGCTCAACGTCAAGCTGGCACGSCTGCGGGTGGACAAGCTGCCCTGGGTGGTGCGGCCGGCTCCCCCACAGAGCTTCGTCCACCTGGACTTTGACCGGCCCCTCTATGTCGGTGAGAGCCCCCGGCCACGCCCCTGCACCCCCGGGTGTCCCCACGCGCCGCAGGGCGCTGAGTCTCAGCCCCGCCGCAGGCGCAGCAGAGCACAAGATGCGCCCGTTCCTGGGGTGCCTGCGGGGACTGCGGATGAACGGGGTGACGCTCAACCTGGAGGGCAAAGCCAACGAGACCGAGGGCGTGAGGGTCAACTGCACCGGCTACTGCCAGGACCCGCCRGTGCCCTGCCAGAACAGCGGGCTCTGCGTCGAGCGCTACAGCCACTACACCTGCAACTGCAGCATCTCGGCCTTCACTGGACCATTCTGCAACCATGGTGAGTGGCTGTGCTGTGCTCCATGGAGTGGGATGGACGAGGAGCCTGCACTCCCCTCACCCCGTGGGCTGTCCCGCAGACATTGGTGGCTACTTCGAGGAGGGCACGTGGGTGCGCTACAACATCCTGCCCATGTCGCTGTACGCCGCCCGTGAGTTTGCCAGCATCRTCAGCAGCCCCTGGCAGCCCCTGCCCGGCTACAACCTGACCAGYGAGGAGGTCAGCTTCAGCTTCAGCACCACCTCAGCGCCCGCCGTGCTGCTCTACGTCAGCACCTTCGTCAAGGACTACATGGCCGTGCTGATCAAGGATGATGGTGAGGGCCCGCTCGCAGCCTGCAGGATGCTCCTCTCTGTGTCCAGCCCCTCCAGACAGGCTGGACGTGCCCGCTGAGAGGTCCAGCCCTGCTGACAGCCCCGTGCTGCCCACAGGGAGCCTCCAGCTGCGCTACCAGCTGGGCACCAGCCCCTACGTCTTCACTCTCACCAACAAGCCAGTGACGGACGGGCGGCCGCACCGTGTCAACATCACCCGCCTGCACCGCACACTGTACACCCAGGTAAGGGCTGGGCTYCCTCCCAGTGGGCCCTGGGGATTCAGGTCAGGCTGGGAGGGTGGCTCTATGGACACTGACACTGTGCACCTGCCTCCCAGGTGGACTATCTCCCCGTCATGGAGCAGCAGTTTTCTCTGTTTGTGGACAGCAAGCTGGACTCACCCAAAAACYTGTACCTGGGGCGTGTGATGGGTGAGCTGGGTCCTGCCCTCAGCTGGGGCCCCATGCTGGGGTCTCAGGGGGCTCCCCTGCACAGCATGGCTCTCACCCTTTGAAAGGGATGAGTAATCTCCTTCTGTGACCCCACAGAAACTGGCGTGATTGACCCCGAGATCCAGCGCTACAACACACCCGGCTTCTCAGGCTGCCTCTCAGGGGTGAAATTCAACACCCTTGTGCCCCTCAAAGCCATCTTCCACCCCACCAGTGCCCTGCGGCCCTACAGCATCCGGGGGGAGCTGGTGGAGTCGAGCTGTGCCTCAATGCTCCCCCTCAGCACCCTCCTTATCCCTCCAGAGATGGACCCCTGGTACATGGCCACAGGTGGGTGTGGTGGTGGGACACTGGTGGGGATGGAGCCCTCGCCAGATGCAGAAGGGAAGCTCCAGCACAAGACCTCGCTGCAGCCTGGTCTCAGCTGCCCTTTCTGTCTCTGCAGAGTTCCCCCACGTGCATGACGATGGCTGGATTGGGATCATCATTGGATGTAAGTGAAACCTCTGACGGGTGTCTCACCCTGCGGCCCCTCCCCAGCCCCTCACTGCTTTCTCTTCCCTGCAGTCGTCATCTTCCTGCTCCTGCTGCTGGCAGGGCTGCTGGTGCTACTCTACTTCTACCAYCACCGCTACAAGGGCTCCTACCACACCAACGAGCCCAAGGCCATCCAGGATTACGGCAGCGCTGCCAAACCGCTGTCRGCACGCAAGGACCAGAACCTGCCCCAGATCCTGGAGGAGGCCAGAGCAGAATAGCGGGGCCGGGGGTGGGACGGGCTCACAGCCCCCGCAGCCCCGGGAGGCGCCCGGGAACGAGCGARCGTCGCGGGACCAAAGGGCCGAGCACACCCGAACTGCCAACGCCCGCCTCCAGACTGACCGCACCGCACTGACCGCCACCTCCTCCCCGCGGCCACCACCGACCGGCCCCCGGAGCGCGGYCACCATCCGCCGGGCCCCAGCCTCGCTCGCCCCGTGTCGGAGGCAGGTCGCTGCCTCTACAGCTGCCAAATCCTGCCTGGCCTCTATCGGGGAGCCCCAGGCCCGGTGCCCACTCTCCCTCCGGCCGGGGTCACCCGGCTGCTGCCGCTGCCCGTTAGTGCTGCCCGCGTAGATGACCCGCTGCTTCGCTCGCTTCGCCAGCACCRCGCAGAGCCACGAGCACCGGCCCCGCACCGCCGGGGCGCCAAGCAATACTCCGCACCGGCGCCGCGCATGCCGCCACYGCACCTTTCGCTGAGATGCTGCTTTCGTAAGATCAGGTACAGATCCTTTCTACTGTTTTTTTGTTGCTGGATATTCTACTACTACTACTACACTCTGGTTTTTTTATTCTCTCGGTTTGTATAAAAAACCAAACGGAAGCTCCCGCGGGCGCGACGTCCCCGCGTGTCGTGGTACATGGTCTGTAGTTTGCTACTTCTCTGTATGGAAGTGCCAGTCCTGCCGATTACCTCCAGCCCAGGGAAAGCTCCTGTTCACTCGCTGTGTTGTGGTTAAGATGTTACAGAAATGCATTTATCTACCCAAAGGCCTGGCTCCACTGGGCACTTTATTTTTAAAAAAAAAGCTGTTCTGTTGAATGAGATGTGAAGATAATCAAATAAAGGCAGAATGATGGTGTTTGACACTCCCCAGCCTTCATCTCGGCAGCYTGGGCAGATCCTCTCCTCCTACCCCAGCTCAGCCTGTACCAAGGGAGGGACCATGTGGCCAACGGTGATTCCTGGTCCCACAGCGAGATGCAGGGTGTAGGGAGCTGTGGCTGGAGGCAGCTGAGCTGCTGCTGCTGCACACACACATCATGTCCTGCTCTCCCCTCCATGCACCTCTGAGCATCCCCCTCCTTCCCAACCTGAGCTGGTGTGATTCAGGCAGCACTGGGCCACTTTCAATTCCCCCGGGACCCTATCCACATTGGGGACAGCCAGGCTGAGTCCAGCAGGCAGGGGACACTCAGGGAASAGGCTGCTGCCAGCTGCTCCCCAGGGTAACAGAGACCAGCAAGCAGTGGAGGGTCTTTGCTACCACTTTATTATGACAAAGGCTACAAGCCATGTTATTTAAAGTGCATTATTATTACCATTATTGACCGTCAACAAACCACAGACACAAGCCTGGCATAGTGCAGATATGGCCACAGTGGCAGAAGACGCTGAGGCAAGAGCAGGGTTGGCAGGAGCCGGGCGGATGGAGGTGGCAGGGAGCAAGGCTCAGGCAGGTGCTGGGATACAAGCACTGCTCCAGACAGACCTAAACACCTCCAGGCTCCAGGGGCCCATCACGGACAACRGGAAGGACAGACAGACAGCCTGGCCTGCCATGCCATGGGGACTGGGAAAACACGGTGAGGGCTGARCCAGGGAGGGCTTGGCTCCCAGGCAAACCCAGCACTCTGTGTGCTCCTGGACTAAGCAGCTGGGGGCTGGGGCCCTGGATGTCCATCCTGGGGTGCCATGTCCATCCTGGGAACTCGGCCCTGGATTTTGGGTGGAGCATGGCCCAACAGCCAGCACCAGGCCAGGTAGGAGGCTGGTGGCAGATGTGGCTCTCAGGGGACAGCCCCAACCTTCAGGTCAGCCCAGGCCCTGTCCAGCCTGCCCTGTCTCAGGCCTGGAGCAACATCCCTGCAAAGGTGCTGACAGGACACCTCTGACAGCTGCAGTCCCTCCACCCCAGTACAAAACACAGGGCCCAGCTACCAGCTGAGGATTAGTTTAAAGTGCTTTTTTCTTTCCTTTTYGCACGGGGTRCCAAGGCTAAACCTCACCCCACCAGAGGATATTTCCCCTTTATTCCCAGGGTCAGGGGGTCACAAAGCCCAAGGAAGGTTTCTGAGGAGCCTCCYGTGGGTCACCACCAGCAGTGACTGTAACATCGTCYTCTACCCAGCTCAGTGGCACCCCTWCTCAAAGGATCATGTTGCATAGTGCTGCTCTCCCATCCCCAGGCATCCCTTGGTGCCACTCCAGCCACAGCCGGGCAGTCCCTGTTTCCCAGCCAGCTGGGGCAGAGGGGAAACCACCTCGGGACAGCAGCCAGGGCCCAGGGGCTGCTCACACTCCCTCCCCGAGTCTCTCTGGTGTCTGGATGGAAAGTAGCACTTGTGACACACACAGCAGCAGGAACAGCAGCAGTCATGTCAGCATGAAGCAAACATGGCATTGCTTACAAGGTGCAGCAGCAAGGTGTGCCAGGAGCACYCCGGAGTTTAGATGATGTCCGTCTCCCTCTCTATGCCGACGTACTTGAGGGCATCTGCCTGGCTGTACCTACAGGACAAGAGGTCATGGCTGCAGCAGTGACCTCCCACAAACCTGCACAGAAGGTGGGGTCAAYCCTGCAGCCCAAGGTCCCTGCTGGCCAAGGTACCTGTAGTCAAAGAAGAGCTCCTCTCCTGCCTGGATGGCTCTCTTGGCRAAGATACCGATCCGGTGGTCTCCGTTCACCATCACAACTGCAACCGGGGATGCAACATCAGAGAGATGCAACATCAGAGATGTGCAACATCAGCCCCAAATTGGGCCTGAGCTCTCAGAGCACCTCAGTGCCCTGCCTGGCCTGGCTGGGCCGGGGGGCCTCACCTTTCGCATAGCAATTGGGGTTCACCGAGTGGTTGGCAAAGCGGATTTTGTTTCCTTTGCGAGTAGCGTCAACAACAAAATCTATTAAAAGAAAACTGGGTGTAAGGCTAGGCCTGTCACCCAGAGGTGGGCTGAGCCTGCCCACCTGGCCAGTAGCCCTGGCTCTCCACCCCTGGCAGCCTCAGGAAGTTACCATTGTTGAGGTTGAAGAGGAAGCTGGACATGTACTTGTCGTAGACCTTTCCTCGCCTGTCAGCCTCATCCTGTGAAATGAGCTGTAGAGGGAGAACACCTTGAGAGACTCAGCAGCCAAGGGCTGAGCCAGGAGCTCACCCGCCTGCTGCAAACACCCTCCTGCTCTCCCTCCCACCTTGTTGGAGCTCCCAGGGAAGGGGCAGAGGCCAGAGCAGGGCTCCCAGGGAGCAGCACACACACGACAGAGGTACACAGAGCTGTCCCAGACACCACAAAGCTCATTATCCAAACCTGGTCAGAGCAAGCCCTTTGGGCACAGCAGAGCTGGGGAAGGCAGCTTACCCATGGCCAAAGGAAGCTCTCCCACCACCCACAGCCCCAGCACAGGCAGCAGCACTGACCTCCCCACAGTACTCAGAGATGAACTCGTTCTTCTGCACAGCCTCCTTGATGAAAGTCCCCCAGCCAGCCACGTCCGATGGAGCCAGCAACAAATGCTGGAACCAAAATGAAAGGAAATGGGAGAGTTGGCAGGCACAGTACCTGCCAGCAGACAGATCATGGGGGCAGAGGGGAGCCAGTGTCCATCCAGCATCCCCTTGTTATGGTGACACACAACCCCCTACACCATTACATGGAGCTGCACAGGACTTGACACCCACTAATTCGCAACTTTCTCMAAATTTTTTTTTTAAAGTGCAATCCCTTCCTCTGACCAGCAGAATTCAAGACTGTATCTTTCTCTTGAGTCACTTTATACACTCCTTTGCTCTCACCATTCTTCATGTAACTCCCACCTCCCGATTTTCACATCCACAAGCCCTACTCCAGTGTAAGTGCTGCAGAGGACCAGGGCACAGCAGCTTCTTTTCCAGACTTTGGCACTCTGGCAGCTGCAGGGAAGTCATTCCCCCTCTCCCACACCGTATCAGAAGCTGTGTATCAGCTCTGCCCTGAGGCAGTCCTTGCCACCCTGCTGTCAATACCTTTTTGAGGCCTCGCTGGATGCTGCAGTTCTTGCAGGAGACCACCTTGCARTCCCAGTGCTCCGAAGCACCACAGGTGAGGCAGAGGTCTGGGTCACACTCCCGCACAGCCAGGTAGCAGGGGCACTGCTTGGTGTTGCACTGGGTCTTACAGCGRCAGCCTGGGAAGCGGTTCTGACCTGCAGCAACACAAGAAGCACGGGTTTGTACCGTGAGGTTTGGCAGAGAACAGAGGGGTCGTGCAGGGTCCAGCCCCAGATGCTCCTGCCCAGCCAAGTCTCGCCCTGGCAGGCCTGGGGCAGGGACAGAACAAAGCCTGGCTGTTGTCTCCATCACAGAGCTGGGACTGGAAGCCCAGACAGGAAAAGTAAAGACAGCAGAGCAGTGACCCAGCACCCCCCCTAACTGCTGGAGGCACATCCTGCTCACAGGGCACCAGCAGCAGCACCCACAGGATACAGGCACAGGGACGAGCACTAACAAAGCGTCTCTCAGCTGCCAAGAGCTGCAGGGCAGCATTTCCCTCTGCACTTCAGCAGGCTGCTAACAGAACTGCTGCTAACAGASCAGCAGGAATAAAGTAGGTCCCCAGCAAGCCCCAGCTCTGCACCCTCCCTGTGCTCTGTGCCAGGAGAGCTGGCTGCGTTCCTGCCCGATAATCCTCGACCTCTCCTTACAGTCAGGGTTGCACTGGCAGAACTTCTCACAGAAATTCTGAGTCATGATGCAAGGGCAGGAGCTGTCACAGGGATGCTCGGGGTGGTCACAGGGCTGGTAGTTGTACACCTGGGTCGGAGAATTATCTAGAACAAGAAGAGAAAAGCCAGGATTGGAAGCTGCATGTTGCAGRAACCTTTTCAAAGCAGCACATGCAAGGTGCTGGAGCTGAAAAAGTGCAAGCTCCCTGTCTGCCTGCACTGGGCAGGGAGCCTGGTAGCACCCAGCTCCCGCAGGCACACACATGGCTGTGCTCACTGACCACTGCCCAGTCCACAGCAGGGCTGCACACTCAGCCTCCCCTGGCTGCAGCAAACCCCGCTGCACATGCAGCCTCAGTGGGCACTGGCACAACCACCAGGGAGCCTGGCCAGGGGTAGTCACACCCCTCCACACTGCTGGATCTGCTGGACTGGAGAGCAGGACACAGCCACCCCGCTGCGGCAGTCGGAGCTGGAGAACTCAACCCTCACAAACCTCCCATGACACAGCCACAGCCAACGCTACCTTTCTTCAGCTGGATCTTCCTGCAGTGAGCAGCCCACAGCCTGGAAAAGGAGCAGAGAGGGTTGAGGGAATGTGTTAGCCATCAGGGAGAGCCAGGCAGCGCCAACAGCCAGCACAGCAGAGATGAGCCTGGCAGACTCATGCATTAATGATCAGCAGCCACCATAGAGTGGAGACAGATCAGAGTGATGCAGCTGCAGCAGGAGCTCTTCAAGCCAAACACCAGTGCCAGAATAATACAGGACACATTGGGGTCAGCACACAAAGTGGGTTACAAGGCAGGGAGTGAGGCTGAGGCTGCTCTTGGGGAAGTGGCATCAGGGGGTGCCCCATCCTTGAGCTGAGCCTGGGGCTGCAGAGCCACTGAGCCCCCAGCCAGGGCAGCAGSCCTGGAACGGGGCCAGGGCCAGCGCCCAGCAGCAGCAGCAGCTCCATGTGACAGCAGGACGTGCGCACAGATGGGAGCCAGATGGGGATTACCAGGAATGCGTTGGCACAAAAAGCAGMGGATCTGGTTGCATTTTAAGAACAAAACAAGCTTGTCCAACACTTGCCTGTGCTTCCTTTTCTTCTTCTGGGATGGATTCATTAACTCGTTTGTTGGCAGTTTCGTTATAAGCGATTCCTTCACTGCAAACTGAAATACCTACCAAAGAACACAGGCAAAAAGAACAAACAAGTTCAGTGCAGTCCAATTGTTCTATCAAAAGCATAAGGAGAGTGTTGACGCTACTCTGGGCCCAGAGAGCAGCACCCCTGCGCCATTTTCCTGCATAAGGGCACTGTTGCTCCTCCTGCCTGGGAAATGAGTGCCTGCACACTCAGCTGTGACACTGAGCATGGGAGAGAACCCACAAMATGGGCACAGAGCAACACCCCCAAYCCCAAAAGCTGATGTGGCACCTTCCTCAGGCAGGTTTGTGGCAGAGAAATAAAACCAACAGGCTTTGGAGAAATAAAACCAAGTGGCTCCAGCCCTGGCCCTTCTCTTGCTGCTGTATCAYCTGTCCTCTGGGCACCCACCTGCTTGCAGGTCTTTGTCCCCAGCAGCCTGGCAATCGAGCAGAAGTTGTTGAAGTAGGTCCCATGGAAGACACGGAAGAGCGACTCCTCAGCTCCCGTCCACTCCACGGGCTCCTGCGGCGTCTCCACYGCAAACAGCTGCGAGGAGGCCGGGCTCAGCTTCTGCTTAGTGGGGGTTTGGCAGCGGGAGTTGGCCTCTGGCAGGAAAGGCAGATGTTAAGCCAAACACACCCCGGAAGAAGGCGCCTGGCTATCATGGTTCTGGGGGGCAGTGGTCTCCTCTTAGTGCCCTGCAGCCCTGCACTGCACTCCCAGCCACACACTCCTGCTTCTGGCCTGGCACGGTGCTCGGGAGCCCAGGGCTCACTCTGGGCTTTGCAGGTCCCAGCAAAGCTCTTGCTTTGCCTGGCAATATTCCTCGTTCCTGGGAGAGGACAGTGAATCCTACAGCAGCAAAGGCAGGGCTGGCATTCCTCAGGTTTGCTGGGAACGCTGACTGCTAACCCTGAATTCTCCAGCTCCAGGACAGCTCCAGCTGTGAGGAGCTGCCTGCCCTCACTGCCCACCAGAGAGGAGTGGGGTGTCTCAGGACTGGCACCGTACCCGAGGAGCTCGAGGCCCACTCGTTGCCYGTGTCGCGGTCGCTGTCGCCCTCCCTGGTCTCAGTGACAGCCGGGGYGTTGGAGCAGGACGCGCCCACCACGTGGTGCCGCCGCCGCCGCCGGCCTGAGCACTTGGATCGGGGGTTGTGCAGCGCAGCAAACTCCTTGGCTCCTTCCTGCAAGCAGAGCAGAAGACAAGACAGGTGGCAGATGACCAGGGAATGCAGAATGCAAGAAGGCTTTTCCACAGGCCCTGGGACAAGCCCTGTCCTGCCACCAGCAAGAGCAGGTGGAAGAGGCCAGTCTCGTGTGGTTCCTTCAAAAGTGTCAAACCCTGCCAGCTGTCTGTGCTGCAGATTCCCACTTTGATCCCCTCAGCATCACTGCCCAGACAGCAGAGGCTCCCTGGCCCTGAACCCCCAGCCCATTCCTCTGGATCCTCCTGGTTTCTCCCTCTGCTCCTTTTGAACATGGGCTTAATTTCTGTAACACTGCACTGAGTCCAGAGAAATCATTTGTCASARTTTCCCATCTGCCACCTCTGGAATTAGTCTTTGTTGGAGATCTGCTATAATATGCGTCTGCTAAGGTCTGCATTTGCATTCTTGCTCCTCTAAGGACTAGAACTTATTCTGAAAAAATCTTCCAAAATTAGGAATAAGATCCACAGAGCTCCACAGAGCAGAGCTGGCCAGGGCACTTCTCTCATGGTTTCTAAAGCAGGGACACAGAAACATACCAGCCAGAGGAAACAGTCTGCGCCGCAAGGATCTGGCTCAATCTTGGTCTCTCTATTCTTTCGTTTGTACACATTAGGAGTAGCATGAAAAGCTGAAAAAGTAACAGTTATCTTTACTATTAGCATTCTCCAAGAGTCTCCCCCCASTCTGCAAGGGACAGGAAGCAGGAGCCTGTGTGCCTGGCAGCAGGGTCTGAGGTGACTGGACCCATGGAGTAGCCCTRCTCCAACCCACAACAGGGATTAGGCAGCTTGGGAAGGAGAGGCCATAGGAAAAAAGATCTGCTTTCACACTGAAACAAAAAGACAACATGATCTTAACATTTTAACTTTTAATAAATAATTCACTGGAAAAAGTCCTGTGACTTCCCAAAGAAGCTCTTAGAGCTGGAGAACAGCAGCTAATCAGTATCCAAAAGGCTTTGGCAGGACCAACCGCAGGAACATGACTAAGACGAAGCTGTAAGTTCCAGTGARGCAACAAAACACAGGGGCATGTCCAGACTTTGGCAGTGAAACATTCATGCCTTTCACTGACGAGCTTCTGCAAAGCAAGAGCCAAGTCTGGTGGYGGCAGGACTACTGCACAAACTGCCGGGAGCTCGGAGGCGGCGTGCTGAGCGCGGAGAGGGGACGGCCACGCAGGTCGGTCAGCCGTCCRTGTGAGCAAAGGGTGGAGCCGTCTGTACAAAAGGCTTCTGAGCACCTCTCAGCTCCTAAGGCCCCACTGCAAACTCACGAGGCACCACCCTCCAGAGCTGCAGCATGGTCTAAGCAAGGTGTGCAGAGGAAAAACTGAGGAGAAAGGGCTCTAGGGAAGCGTCCGGCTCAGACRGCACTTACGATGCAGAAAGCAGTCGTATTTGAAGCAGCGGCGGCAGAAGAGGGTGTGGAAGGAGTGCAGGGACTGCTCCCTCTGCACTGACTTGGCGCACGGCCCGTCRATGTTGGGAGTGCACTGTGGTGGCAGCACGTTCGGGTCAGACACCTCCGTGAGCTCCCGGTACCTGTGGACGAACACAAACACCAGGGATGGGCACTCTTCCCCCGTTTGGGACATTTCACATGCYTACATCACTGTGTGGGCCCATCAGGTGCCTCAAGGCCAAACTGCAGTTTTTAACACTACCCAAAACTTTGAGGCCCAGCCRGCCCACAGTGCTGGTCTCTGAAACAAAGTTTTCAGCTCTTGCTAAGAAAGGTAGCAGACAAGCAGAGCAGGGAGTTTCTACCTTTCTTTCATATCCTCTGGGAAGCCATACTCAGGAAACATGGAAGAAATAGCAGTGAATATCATGTCATTGGGGAACCGCTTCTTGGAGCACTTCTTGTTACCTACAAAGAACAGGAGACACATTTCCTTAGCCAAGCTGACATGAATGGGTCTTTTCTTCTTGCACAGAGCAATTCCAGGTTTGTATTTTAAGACAGAAATGTAATCCCATACACAACAGATAAACCTTGTGTCCTGCAACCAGGCTAAAGCATTTCCAGAAGCAGAGTTAGGCCACTTTCAGTGGGGATTCCATCAGAGAAAAAAGCCTTGGGGGCACTTTTTATCCATTTCTGCATTCCAGAAGTGTGAGGCATGGCCTGACACTGACCTAGAACAACACGGTGTACTATTGGAAGCACCAACTTTGCTTTTACTATTTTTAAATTTTTATTAGTTTTTGATTCATTAATATTAATTTTACTATTACTATTTCTTTCTACCGGGGCAGAACTTGCAGACAATGCTTTTCTACATCCACAGAAGTCTTTGTGTTTGTGCCACCTGCATGGCCACAGATCAAGGACAAAGACAAAATTACCCATCAGCATTCAGAAGGTCATTGAGGACACATGAAAATCCCACAGACCAGAGCTTCTTCTAGGCAACAAAAGCTCCAGGTGGCACAGGAGAGGGAAGAGGAATGCTAATACATGGAAAGCAGGTCTGGAAGGGATTTGAGAAGGTCCATCTCCCTGCCTCCCACAGAAACAGATCCACCCACATCTCCCTGACAGGTGCATGCCAGACCAGCAYTTGAAAACCTCCACAAGCAGAGCTCCCACAGCCTCTCAGATAACACCCAGCTCTGCTAATCKCACCAGGAAGTGGGTTTCCAGATGACTCATCTAAATTCCTCCTCACCACACTTCAAACTGGTGATTTCTTCTCCTGTCCACAGTGGACAGTGAGAACAAACCACTTCTCCTTTGCTAAAGAACTTGTCAAGCTGGAACTGCTCTTGGCGACACATTAACAACCCAGTGATGGCAGGAGAGYAGTGCCCAAGTGCTCAGGCAGGGCAGGATGGAAATGTGACCAACATAAACCCCATTTCTYTGGGGGCCAAACCCACCTTCCACTGCAATTCGCTTTCTTTTCCTTGTCACTGGCAGCTCCTCTTTCCCATCCTCCTGTTTCCCCTCAGAATCATTGTGTCCTTCCTCTTCCTCATCCGAGTACTGATTCAGAGCATTCACTAGCTCCAGGAACACGGCATCACTGATGAGGACTGACCCTGAGATCATTTCTGAAACACACAGAAGTGCAAGTGCCACCATCTTTCTCATTTCTCACCATGGCAAACCTCCTGCCAATACGCTCTGCTACCAACCAGAGCCCTTCTCTCAGTTTTGTTGGGGTAGGTGGGATTTTAGCATTAGATTCAGTAGCATTGTATCATTTTCAGCAGTCTGGGGACAGGCCACACTGGTTTCCCCTGCCTTCCTTTACCCTGGGCAATATTATGATTGGGCAGTGCTTTTCATTGATTAAACTCTTGGCTAAGCCAATAAGCAGAATGGGGYTGCTGAGCTCCTCCCACCCTCTAGCACATTTCCAGCACCCCAGAGGAYGCCTGTGAATCCCTGTACACAGAAGCACTGGCTCCAGAGCACTCCAGGCACTAGAATGGAGTGAGTTATCCAAAGGCAGGAATGTGCCCTTGCCAAGCAGAACAGCATGCACCATCCTGTTTCCCTGCTCTGAGAGCTCCCACAGAAAAGCTGGTTACTGCTGCCACCTTTTGACTTCTGAAATACTTGGGTATGTTATTTGCAAGAGACTGAATCACAGAACCATGGTAAGGTTTGGGTTAGAAGGGATCTTAAAGCTGATCTTGTTCCATCCCTGCCATGGATAGGCCACAGGTTGCTCCAAGCCCCACCCAACCTGGYCTCGAGTGGACAGAGCTGGCTGCTCCCAGGTTACCTTCCTCTCCATGAACTTTCCCATCATAGTTATTAATAAGTTCTTCAATGAAAGTTTCATCTTCTTCCTTCACCTCGTCSCCCATGTAAGGGATATTGCACAGAACTGTTTCATCCTCCACCTGCAGAGAGATCAGACACAACTCAGAAAAGCAGTGATCCCAAGGCTGCTCTGGTCCCTCAGGCCTGCCAACAACACAATGCACAGCAAAGGTGCAGGTGTCTTATCACTGACACATCATTCCACTGTAAGCCAGTCACAAAGGAAAGGACCTGACTAAGAAATAAAACTTTTCATTTGAAAAGAAATAAAAGTCTTAGGGAAAAAAAACACAAACAAACCTCTCCCCCCCCCAAATTTATTTACTCCTTAGATCCTGTGAAGCAACAGTGACTCTGTCAAGAAGTAATGTGTAAAAGATGGGTGAGGCACTGTGGACACAAGGCTGGCTTATAGGATTCTACAAAACAAGCAACTAAAGCAACACTTTCCATCATCTCTCAAGCAGATATTCCCTGAAACAAGTGGGATGAAGAACCACTCCCCAGCTGTGTCACAAWCAGACACTGACCTTACTGAGACCCCATGCTTCCTACATACCATAAAATTCTGCTGAAGAGGGGACCAGGAGTACATAATGGGCACCAGTGCCACYGTGTTCAGGGTCCTCATGTACAGTGTCTGGCTTGAAAATCCTGGGAAAATGCTCTCAACAGTGCACTGGAATAGAAGCACAGAGAAGGTCAGTGAGGAACCACTCTGGGAGGCTGCCACAGCCTGAGGAAAACTGAATTCAGGACAAACACGGAAGCCCCGCATCGATTGTGGGGACTCCACCAGAGGAAAAAGCCTTGGGGGTACTTTTTATCCATTTCTGCATTCCAGAAGTGTGAGGCATGGCCTGACACTGACCTAGGACAACACAGACAAAAACTCATCCCCACAGAGCCCTGGTTTCAGTCCCCACTTGCTATTGCTGCCCCTTTTTCTCTGCACACCTGTTTCAGGAAAGGGTGCCCGCTGACTGGCTTCATCAACTGCACTGGCTGCACTCGAAGCTTCTTCCAGTCTTCATTAAGGATTTGAGTCTTTTCATGAACCTTTGCAAAGTTGGCCACAAAGAGAGCCTGAAAGGAGAGAAAGGAGCTCTCAAAACTTAAGAAAACCTATTGAGAACTTGCACAGCATTGAAAGGGTTCAGCAGGGAGATYCTGTAAAAACCAACTGGAAACRAGTTCTCTTGCTGAAGTTAMGCCAGTGCTTGTTCAACAGCCTCGTGTGTGTGACAGCTGCTGCACACACGGCTCAGGACAGAGCACGAGGAGAAGTGGCATCTCTTCCCATTGATCCACCTTGCAAGTCAAGCACAGTTTATCAATCCACCTTGCTGACACCCTCGGACATTCTGAGCTGAAATGAAGCCTTTTTGGGCACATCACAGCCCAGTCCTCACTGTGTCTGTACCTTTGCTCCCATGTTTGCCTGGAACCTCTTGAGYTGCCGCAGACGCATGTACTCAGACTTGACTTTCCTTTTCCAGTACATGATACACTTGGATGTCGGAGGAGTGGTAATTTCCATTTTTCTGTAACAGTACAGAAAGAATAAATATCAAATWACGGAGAGCTCTACCGGGAAACAAGTGACATGAAAAAAAACATCCCCGTGGATGGAAAAAACACTCTATGCATCATTGACTTAAACTAAGCAAAATAACGGCGTCGCTCTGCGGTGCTCCTGACGGCGAAACACGCACAACCGAAGCGCACGGACAGGCCCGGGACAGCGGCGAGGGGCGGTGGTGATCGGAACCGGCCGCTCCGGTCCCCCGAGCCGCTGGGGCAGCACCTGAGCCCGGGGGTTATTGGGATCCCCGTCCTCCCCCAGGACACGCCGCCGGAGAGCCACTCCAGCCACCCTCCGGSCGGGCCCGAGCGCTCCCCGCGCCCGGGGACAAGAACCGGAGGGAGCGGGGRCCGGCAGCGCCACCGGATCCGAGGAGCGGGTCCGAGCCCCGCAGCTCCCTCCCCCCAGGGCCCGCCCGGAACCACGGGGACCCGCTGCCCCCCGGGACCCACCGGGAACCCCCGGAACCCCCGGGACCCCCCGGCCCCGCCCGCACTCACTGCTCGGCCATCGCGACAGGGGGAGGCCGCGCACCCCCGCCTCACTGCGCGCGCGCGGCCCGCCCCGGCCCCTCACACCGGGCCCCGCCCCTGCCACGCCC